GTTTCTACACAAGATCTTGATCCGTGCAGAAAATTGCCAGTATCGGTCCACAATTTCATATACCTCCCATACAATAGTACATATTCCCTGAAAATGGGTTTTTCGTTAATAACTTCCATCACAATGTCGATATCTTCACAAAATTTTACAAATTAAAATCTTATGTCAATAGAATTCTTTTAGAGAAAATTTTTCTGGATCGGTCCATAATTGGACATAGCTCCCATACAAGGTACCCTCCCGAAAATCACTTAAACGCGCATAACTCATTACTAAATTAAGATATCCATATAAAATTTGGTATAAGTATTGCCCATATGCATAGAAATATTACTGTGAAAATTTTTTCCGATCGGTTCAAAATTGGTCATGGCTCCCATACCAGGTCCCCTCCCGAAAATCACTTAAACGCGCATAACTGATTACAAAATTAAGATATCCATACAAAATTTGGTATAAGTATTGCCCATATGCATAGAAATATTACTGTGAAAGTGTTTTCCGCTCGGTCCATAATTGGTCATAGCTCCCATACAAGGTCCCCTCCCGAAAATCACATAAACGCGCATAACTCATTACTAAATTAAGATATCCATATAAAATTTGGTATAGGCATTGCCCATATGCACAGAAATATTACTGTGAAAGTTTTTTCCGATCGGTTCATAATTGGTCATAGCTCCCATACAAGGTCCCCTCCCGAAAATCACATAAACGCGCATAACTCATTACTAAATTAAGATATCCATATAAAATTTGGTATAAGTATTGCCCATATGCATAGAAATATTACTGTGAAAGTTTTTTCCGATCGGTCCAAAATTGGTCCCATACAAGGTCCCCTCCCGAAAATCACTTAAACGCGCATAAATCATTACTTAATTAAGATATCCATATAAAATTTGGTATAAAAATTGCCCACATGCATGAAATATTATGTCAATAGAATTCTTTTAGAGAAAAATTTTCTGGATCGGTCCATAATTGGACATAGCTCCCATACAAGGTCCCCTCCCGAAAATCACTTAAACGCGCATAACTCATTACTAAATTAAGATATCCATATAAAATTTGGTATAAGTATTGCCCATATACATAGAAATATTACTGTGAAAATGTTTTCCGATCGGTTCAAAATTGGTCATAGCTCCCATACAAGGTCCCCTCCCGAAAATCACATAAACGCGCATAACTCATTACTAAATTAAGATATCCATAAAAAATTTGGTATAAGTATTGCCCATATGCATAGAAATATTACTGTGAAAGTTTTTTCCGATTGGTCCATAATTGGTCATAGCTCCCATACAAGGTCCCCTCCCGAAAATCACTTAAACGCTCATAACTCATTACTAACTATAAAGTTTGGCAGAAGTATTGCTCATATACAGAGAAATATTACTGTGAAATTGTTTTCCTATCGGTCCATAATTGATCATAGCTGCTATACAAGGTGCCTTTCAGAAAACACTTAAAGGCACATAACTCATTAGGAAATAGTGATACCCATAAAATATTTGGCATTAATACTATTTTTGTACACATAAATGTTATTTCAAAATTTTTTCACGATTAGTCCAACCTTGGTCATAGCTCCCATATAAGGTTCCCTCCCGAAAATCACTTAAACGCACATAATTCATTACCAAATATTGATATCATACATTTAGCAAAATTATTGCTCTTATATACATAAATTACACTATAAAATTGTTTTACGATCGGTCCATATTTGGTCATAGCTCTCATACTAGGTCCCCTCCAGAAAATCACTTAAATGCACAATATTCATTACCAAATAATGATATAGATACAGAATTTTGAAATTTTGTTTTTATATATAATTCGTCATAGCTCTCATACAAGGTCCTTTTACGAAAATCTCTTAAACGCACATTACTCATTACCAAATAAAGCTATTGATACAAAATTTGCCACAAATATTAGTTTTGTATACAAAAATTCTATATCAATATTTCTCACGATCGGCTCATAACATGGGTGCGGTCGGTCCCATACAAGGTTCCCTTCCGAAAATCACTTAAACACACATTACTTATTACTAAATTACGATATAGATATAAAATTTTACTGAAATATAGCTTTTATGTACAGAAATTTAGCTTAAAGAATTTTTTACGATCGGACTATAATTGGTCATATCTAGGTCCTGCCTCTGAAAGCACTTTAACCGTATTTAACTAGTTGCATTATCAATTTGTGTAGATTATATATATGTATTTTGAAAATCCTTTAATTTTCACACACATGCATACATGCAAATTACTAAATATCGCTAAGCGCTATAAAAATATAAAGAAAATTGCGTTTGTAATGTTCAATAAATCTTGGAATTGTAATAGATTTAAGCTGTTTAAATCTTGGGATTTTTCAATTTAAGACATGAGATAACTTATTTCTACAAATATTTGACCAATTAGAAAAGTCTTAATATAAAAGTAGCTGGTGGAGGGTATTTAAGATTCGGCTCAGCCGAATTTAGCACTCTAACTTGTTTTTTCAGTAATATTTATGCACAAACTTTAACTTCCTTTACCTAGAATAAGCAAAACAGAAACAATAAAATTATATTTTCTAATATACATTTTTTGATTGAAATTCATATTGCATACTAATACTTTAGTTGTATACTTAGTATCTGTGAATTTGCTGGCATAAATGTCTATAGTGGTGGTTGGTTGCTGGTGGGTCGGTTGGTTGCCGACCTATCTGTTTCAAATTGCTGTTGGTAGCAAAATATAGGTTGGTATTTTTGTTTGCACAGTGTACTTTTTTTGTTATTTAGTTATTTTAGTTATTTTAGCCTGTCAGTCGGTTGGACAGTTAGTTTGTTTTAGGTCTTTTTTATCTCTGCTCGGTTGCTTGAATATGTATTATTTTAGGATGATGATCCATCTACATTCATTGTTAAATATGTGTGTTGCATATTAACTATCTATCTGGTTTTGTTTTTATTTAAACAAATTTTTTGCTGTTGTTGTTGTAGTTATCCATTGTTATATTCCCATACAGCTATATGAATTAAACATTCTCTTTAGCGATAACGAACAGTATGAAAAAATCTTTAACACTAAAATGTAAAAAAAAACAGCAAACAAATATTTAACATTTTCATAGATATATTTTATGTTATTATTACGTTTTATATTTTCTATTAAATTTTTTAGTTGTTTTCCTTATTTTACTTTATTTGTTTATTTATTTTAGTAAAAGTATTAGTATGAATATTAATCCTTAACGGATGTTGGTTAAATATAAAGCACCGACAGGCAGTCAGGCTAAATAAATATAAATAAATTTATTTATTGATAACAAAATACAATTGTTAAATATTTTAGGGAAAATAATACAGGTTTATTGGTTGTTTTTACAGAACAAAGCAGCAGAGGATTTAAAAAAAGGTTGTTCTTTGTTATGTTTAGTATTAGGTAGAAACAAGTCAGAGTGCTATATTCGGCTGATCCGAATCTTAAATACCCTCCACCAGCTACTTTTATATTAATACTTTTTTAATTGATCAAATATTTGTAAAAATAAGTTTACTCATGTCTTAAATAGAAAAACCCCAAGATTTAAACAGATTTATTGAACATTACAAACGCCATTTCCTTTTATATTTTTAAAACGCCTTAAGATATGCTTTAGCGATATTTAATAATTTGTGTAAAAGATTTGAGGAAATTCAAATTTTCGGGGCAGGACCTAGTATGGGAGATATAACCAATTATGGACCGATCGTAAAAAAACATTTCTGCATATAAAAGCTATATTTCAATCAAATTTTCTATCTATATCGTAATTTAGTAATAAGTAATGTATGTTTAAGTGATTTTCGGAAGGGAACCTTGTATGGGACCGATCGCACCCATATTATGAACTGATCGTGAAAAAATCTTAAGATATAATTTTTGTGCGAAATTTTGTATTGTAGCTTTATTTGGTAATGAGTAATGTGCGTTTAAGAGATTTTCGTAAGAGGAGCTTGTATGGGAGCTGTGGCCAATTATGGTCCAATCGTAAAAAATTCCACAGTATCATTAATGTTTATAAAGACAAAATTTTGGCTAAATTCTGTATCTATATCATTATTTGGTAACGAATATTGTGCATTAAAGTGATTTTCTGGAGGGGACCTTGTATGGGAGCTATGACCAAATATGGACCGATCGTGAAAAAATTTTATATTGTGATTTAAGCATAAAAGAGCAATATTTGTGCTAAATGTATCGATATAAATATTTAGTAATGAGTTATGTGCGTTTAAGTGATTTTCGAAAGGGAAACTTGTATGGGAGCTATGACCAAATATGAACCGATCGTGAAAAAATGTTTGTGTACAAAAATAGTATGTATCTATGATAAAATTTTTTATGGATATCACTATTTGGTAATGAGTTGTGTGCCTTTAAGTGTTTTTCTGAAGGGGACCTTGTATGTACATTTTTGTATAAAAGAGCAATACTTGTACCAAATTTTATATGGATATCTTATGATAATGAGTTATGTGCGTTTAAGTGATTTTCGGGAGGGGACCTTGTATGGGAGCTATGTCCAATTATGGACCGATCCAGAAAATGTTTTCTCTAAATAAGTTCTATGACATAGAAAAAAAGATATTTTGTGAAGTTATCAGCGTTCTGACGGAAGTTATTAACAATAAACTCGTTTTCCGAAAGAAATTGTGCACCGATTTCGACACAAATAAAGATCTCGTGTAAAAACAAATGTATGATGATTTTTATGGAATTATATTGCATAATTTTCGTGAAAATTACATCAGAATGTGTAAAAAATGCTTATTTTTTTCGGAGTTGTTTTAAGTTTTGATTCTGTTGAAAATAAACTTTATCGTTTTTATACTTTATGAAATTATTTATTGTATAACTAGTAGTCTATTTGAATTTTGTATTTCAAATTTTTTCATTACTCTGTGATTCATATTTTAAACTTTGAACAATAAACATTATTTATAACAATAGGTTATGGGCCCAGACCCCAAACCTAAGAGAAAATAATTTGTGAATAATCTTCAAGAATAAAGAAGAAATATGGCGATAGTATCAGGAAGAATACCGTTGCTGAATGGAAAGAATTTTTCCACGTGGTATCCGCAAATGGAGGCAATCTTTCATAAGAATCGCTTATTGCGAATGGTAAGAGGTGAAGAACCCAAACCGGAAGTTGTAGTTATCAATAGTAATGCTACAGCAGCTGAAAGGGCGTTGTATGATAATTATTTGAAGAAACAACGTGAGTACGATGATGTTGATCAAGATGCTCGAGCGGAGATTATAATTGCTCTGGAACCGGATATTGTGCGTATGGTAAAGAATATGCAGTCATCTCACGAAATTTGGATTTATCTGAAGAACACGTACGACCGCAAGTCTACAAGAAAGAAGGCCGAACTGTACAGGAAATTGCTGAATTTCAAGATGCCAGAAAATCAGAATATATCGCAATATTTGGTGGAATTTGATGTTGCAGTATCTGAACTTCGAGAAATGGTAGCCGATATCGATGAAGATTTTTTAACAGTGATGCTGTTAGATGGTTTACCAATGAAATATAAAGCAGTAAAAGCAGCATTTGACACTGCCAACGAATTTCCAACTCTCAATATTTTGCGCTCAAGACTCCTAGAAATTGGTGACAAGCCTGAAGAAGATGGTGCTGAAGGTAATGCTTTCAAGGTACACAAATTTCAAAATAACAAGAAGAAGCATGGTAACTATAACAATATGGAGAATAAAGGTATGAAAGATTTTCCTTATAATTGTCACAACTGTGGTAAAAAAGGCCACATGGCCAAAAATTGTAAAATCAAGAAAAATAAAGCCAATGAAGTATATGTAACATCAGGTTTCGCTGTATCATCAATTTTAGCTAATAGTTGTTGTAGTTCAGCGGAAGATAGTTTCACTTGGGTAGTTGACAGTGGGGCATCCTCACACATGACAAATCAGAAGTCACAATTTATTGATATGGATGAAACTTTTAGAGGATATGTCCGATTAGCAGATGATAAGAATTTGGAGATAATGGGTATCGGTACAGCTCAAATTAATGTTAGAGTAAATAATAGCATTAGTACAGTCAATCTCGTAGAAACTCTATATGTACCTGATTTAAGAAGCAATTTATTTTCAATAGGAAAAGCGGCAAATAAAGGTTGCAATATAGAAATTTGTCCAGACAAGATAACAGTCTATAAGAATGGTAAAATTTTGATAACTTCACAGAAGAAAGGTGGTATATATTGTATTGAATCCATTAGAAATGTTGCTGGCCATGTAGTTGAGAAATCAAATGACGATTTAGAGTTATGGCACAAACGATATGGCCATTTGAATACAGTAGATTTAGGAAAGCTTCAATCTAATGAAATGGTTCACGGTTTACCCAAATTCAAAATTAAGAATATTCAGTGCGAAAGTTGTATTCGAGGTAAACAAACCAGGCAAGTTTTTCCAAAGAAGAATGAAATAACATCTACTGAAATATTGGAATTAATACATACGGACTTATGTGGACCAATGCGAGTAGAGTCTATAAGTAAGAAACTTTACTTTGCCACATTTATAGACGATTTTAGCAGAAAGGTACATGTTCGATTTTTGAGGAAAAAGAGTGAATATTTTGAAGTTTTTCAAGAGTTTAAGAAACAAGTTGAGTTGGAAACAGGCAGGAAGATCAAATCTGTTAGGTCTGATAATGCCGCAGAATTAACAAGTAGCGAATTTGAAAATTTTCTTAAAGATTGTGGTATTAAACACCAGTTTAGTGTAGAATACACCCCACAACAAAACGGAATAGCAGAGCGAATGAACAGAACATTAGTCGAAATGGCTAGAACAATGATGTTAGAGGCAAAACTTCCAGAATTTTTATGGGCTGAGCTAGTAATGGCGGCATCTTATATTAGAAATAGGTGTCCAACCAAGCTGAACAATAATAAGACTCCTAAAGAATTATGGTCAGGAAGAAAGCCTTGTGTTAAACATTTACGGCAAATAGGAAGCAAAGCTTTTGTTTTGGACAAAAAGCCAGGAAAATCTAAATGGCAGCCAAGAAGCTCAGAATATAGGTTAGTTGGATATTCAACAGATGCCAAAGCTTATCGATTATGGAAGCCTGGATCCCATGAAATTGTTAAAAGTCGTGATGTTAGATTTATAGAAGATAGTTTTGATATTAACGTTAGCCAGCAAGAAGATAAAAATCAAAGCTTTTATGAATTCAATTGGAATAGAGTAGAAACAAACCAATACAGTCCTACTACCGAAACGCATCAAAACGATTTAGAGTTAGCCAGTAATCAAAACCAATCTCATGTAGAATCAAACCAAGTCAAATCAAATGTAAATACTGAAAACGTTTTAGATTCGAATCCAGTTTTGACAGATGATGAAGATACATCTTCAAGCAGTAGTGACAACGTAACTCCAGAACCTTCAATTAAGGAACGACTAAGATCGTGGTCCATTTTTAAAAGTAGAGAGGAAGCTACAACTGTATGTATTAACCAGAATGATCCTAAAACGTACAAGGAAATGCTGAAGTCAAAAAATGCCGATGATTGGAAACGTGCAACTGAAAATGAGTATAATTCCCTAATGAAAAACAAAACTTGGGAATTGGTAGATTTACCCGAAGGTAGAACCCCTGTAGGATGTAAATGGGTATTTAAAACTAAGTACACACCTGATGGTAAGGTTGATAAGCTAAAAGCGCGTTTAGTAGCGAAAGGATATTCTCAAGAATACGGTATTGACTACAATAGTACATTTGCACCAGTCGTAAGACAAAACTCATTACGTTTAGTATATGCACTTGCTGTTGAAAAAGATCTTAAATTAAGACAGTTAGACGTGTCTACAGCTTTTCTCAATGGAAATTTAGATGAGGAAATTTTTATGACACAACCTGAAGGTTTCATTGAAGAGAAAAACAAAAATAAAGTATGTTTATTGAAAAAATCTATTTACGGTTTGAAACAAGCTAGTCGACAGTGGTACAAGAGGATAGATGCAGTTTTAAGAGAGTTTAGTTTAAACAAATCCAAGTATGATCAATGCATTTATTCAATGAATAAAGGATCTGATACAATTATAGTAGCGCTATACGTAGATGATGTTATTATTGCAAGTAATAACGAAAAAAGCACTGAAGATTTAATTAAAATGTTATCAAATAATTTCGACATTCGAGACATGAAAAATCCAAAACATTGCATAGGATTAGAAATCGATCAGAAGCCAGGATCATTAACAATTTGTCAACCAGGTTACATTGAAAATTTAATTGAAAAATATGGTCTTAAAGATGCAAAATCAAGTAAAATCCCAATGCAACCGAAAATGAAACTTGAAAAAGAACCAACAATTCCTGGAGAAGGAGAAAAGATAGATGAGAAAAAGTTTCAAGAAATTATTGGTTCCTTGTTACATCTAGCAATATTTAGTCGGCCAGATATTTCTTGCAGTGTAAACAAGCTTTCACAGTTCTGCCAAGATCCGAGAAAACAACATTGGAATGCAGCTTTGACAATAATTAGATATTTAAAAGAAACTAAAGATTATATATTAATGTATAAGAAAACGTCTTCACCTTTAGTTGGTTATGTAGATGCTAATTGGGCACAGGACACAAATGATCGAAAATCTCAATCAGGATTTTGTTTTATATTCGCAGGTGCAGTTATATCCTGGGAATCAATTAAGCAAAAAGTAGTTGCAACATCCAGTGCTGAAGCTGAATACATGGCTTTAACAGAATGTGCAAAAGAGGCTATGTACCTACGTTACCTACTAGAAGAACTTGGATATGCAACCAATACCCCAACCACCATAATGTGCGACTCACAAAGTGCCCAACATATGGCTAATTTTGGAAGCCACCACTCTAGGACAAAGCACATACACTATCGCTATCACTTTATACGTGATGCTGTTTAGAATGGTGCAGTTAAAATTGAATACCTCCCAACCAACGCAATGATTGCCGATATGCTAACAAAACCAGTCGCGAAAGTTAAGCATCAGTTCTGCATAAAAGGAATGGGCTTAAGGTCGAAAAACGATTGCAGTTAAGGAGGCGTGTTGAAAATAAACTTTATCGTTTTTATACTTTATGAAATTATTTATTGTATAACTAGTAGTCTATTTGAATTTTGTATTTCAAATTTTTTCATTACTCTGTGATTCATATTTTAAACTTTGAACAATAAACATTATTTATAACAATAGATTCATAACTTTTCCCGACGTAAATCGGCTTTGTTAAACTGCCTAGGGCAATAGGAAATATTTTGCCCAAATTTCAATATTTTATTTCATTTTATTTTTACGTGAGCGTATTTTACACAGACAGACAGGCGGACGGGCGGACAGACGGACATAGCTAAATCGACTCAGAATTTCATAAGGACCAAAAATATATTGGGTCTCAGATGAATATTTCTTGGTGTTACACACGGAATGACAAAGTTATATATACTCTCTATCACCACTCATGGTGGTGGAGGGTATAAAGGAAAACTTAAGGAAATAAATATAACATTTCACATATTCGATGCTGCGATTTAGTTCTTAAGATTATTTTGTTTTAAAAAATAAATAAAAATTTAACAAAATAACTTAATAAAATATTTAATTTAAGTCTTTTAAAAGAAGAAAACTGTCTACAAAGAAAAGATTTTATCGAAAATTGTGAAAATTTTATCGAAAATTATCTAAGAAGAGAAAATTTTATCTAGAAGTGTCCAAAAACAGAAAATTTTATCTAGAAGTGTCCAAAAACAAAAAGTTTTATCGAAAAACTTCTAAAAAGAGACAACTTTATGGAAAATTGTCCAAAAAGATAAAATTTTATCGAAAATTTTCTAAAACGAGAAAATTTTATACGAAAATTTTTTATAATGTGAACATTTTATCGAAAATTTTCTATAAAGAGAACACTTATCGAAAATTTTCTATTAAAAAAAATAATATCAAAAATTTTCAATAAAGAGACA